CAATTATAAAAATCGATTCAGCGCAGTTTCTTTTAAAATGTATCATAATTATGTATGACTAACAAAGTTTATTTATGTTATTAATAATGTATATCATACTTGAACTAGCAAAAAAGTCACAAAATCATCATTTAAAAATGATTATTAGAAAAGTCATTATTAAAAAAATGTATCATAATTACAATATTAAAAAAGTATATGATAGTTACAGTATTAAAAACGCGTACCATAGTTACGTTATTAAAAAACGTATATCATAATTATAGTTAATATTATATAATATAATATAATATCATATAATATTATATCATAATTATAGTAATATCATAATTAAAAAGTTACACTATTAAAAAAGTGTATCATAAATATGCTATTAATATCTTTGACTGCTGCGTCACCCATACGTGAGTGGCAGAATTACTGAAAATTTAAATTTTAAGAATTAATTTTTATGCTAGTCCATTGTAATTTCTTAATTTTATTCGAAAGAGGTAAGAACGTTGAAAATGTAATCGATGTCATAACTTCGCTTTGCAATTTGAATTTCATAAAGTGCTTTAATTTTCTGAAATTTTTCAAACTTTTGGCGCGACCGTTGAAGTGTCATCTACATACAAAATTTAAAAGTAGCGTTGAAGTTATACACAGTATTTACATTGGAGGATCCTTTTATTAGACGCCGAAAACCTAGTCACGAAATGACCTATTTGATATATAATCAGAGTACATTAGTTTTTATAATAATTAGAATTATAATTTTGAATTGTTATATTTAAAATTCAAAAGTCTATTCTAATCATTCTCTTGATACAATTTACGTTATTATTCACTAAAAGACGGTCTTAAAACGAAGATATCATTGACCCGAGACGTATTCTTAACAGTCACATTTCAGTTGATTTTGACCCGCGGCCAAAAAAGGTCGCCGACGCCTGGCTCTGTACGTTTTTTGGACGATTCGACTGAAAATTGCCACCGCCTATGAAACGAGAAACGACTCGTCAGTTCTAGATATTGCTTAGAATAATATCAGCTGCTTGAGAATACCAAGATTGCGCAGGAACCACTTATTGAACCCTTCTCGAGCACACCCCATTGAGCCCCTTGCTACCCATAAAATATGTGCCCATCAAATATGTATCGATTCGTCTCGGATTCGATTTTTCCAGGGCCCCTCGAAAGGCGAAAGCAAAGAGAAAACCCCGGGTAGCGTCTCGGCAAAGAGAGACAGTCGTGAAAAAGGCGGCGTGGAAAAGACGACAGTGACCCTCGGAAGGACCTTGAAAAGAGCTATAAAAACACAATGAGGGGCTGGGCGTAGGACGCCCCACGTTTTCCAACCTGGCGTTCTATCCGGAGTGCCCGTGTATTTTAGCCGAACCTCGGGAAAAAATTACAAAGGACCCAAAGGAGACGTTTTTAAGGCCTCGAGGTGGAACGTCTGAAACCATCTCGCTTGTTACGCCCCTGGCTTTTACAACGTCGGGACGTGGCCGTTTCAAAAAATGTGTCCACCGAACGAACGCGTGGCTGGCTCTCGGCCCGGCCGTCTCGCGTCCCCGAGTCTTTACCCTAATTTACCTAGCAGCCCGCTAATCTTATTTGCCCCGACTGAACGCAGTTTAATTCCATTAGCGAAATTAAAGTTCTAGCGGGAGCGTTTAACTGCGGATCGATGCCGCGCTATCCCGCAAACCATCCGGATAAACCAGCCGCGCGTCGATTCCGAATAACGCGTTAACAAAAATACACGCTCGGATCGATTTTGTCTCGTGCCGCGATCGCTGAATGTTAAGGCCACGAGATTCGAGATAATCATGCGATCCCCACCGTGGCTTCGCTCGTTCTTCAAACGCGCGAACAGACCAACGCTAAACCCACCGAGCATTTAAAAACGACTCTGACTTTCTCTGGAAAAAATCTGAAAGCTTTGCGTTAGATTTAGTTTCGCGTTAGAAAAAACAATTTCAAACATTTTTTTTTTAGTGTTGATTCTG